CCCGCCAGGCCCGCGTCTGCGCGCGCAGCTCGTCGGCCACCGCCAGCTGCGCGTGGGGCGGCCGCTCCGGGTGGTAGAACTTGCACTTGATGCCGTAGGTGCACTTCTTGCCTGGAAGGGGCAGGGGGGAGAGAGGCGCAGTGAGCCCTCGGGCGGGGAGAGGCTGTGCCGCCCCGCGCGGCCTCTCTCCCTGGAGATTCCTCCAGGAAGGCCCCCAGGCCCGCCGCAGACTTCTGAGGACTGGGGCGGGACGAGGCGGGAGAAGGGCCCTGCGGCCGGGCGGGATGGGTGAGGATACACATCCCTCTCCCCGGGGTGTGGGGCGCTGGGCCCGGTGACCCCAGTGTCGCGCGGGTGGGTGTCGGTCTGAGAGCTCCCTTTCACCAGGAACTGGGACCAAATCTCTGAATCCAGTGACCTTCAGCCTCCACCTCCCCAGGGGCCCTGTGGACAGGACCGACCTCAGGGGTGGAGGGGGTGGTGCTCGTGGCCTAGGATGGCACCTCCACTGCGGCCTGTTTCCCCCACTGTCCACACCCGTGTGCTAACCATGGCCCTTCCCTACAGACTGTGCTAACGGAAGTGATCACATTTCATCCTCCGAACCCGGCACTTCTGAGAGTGAATGGGAGCAGGACGACCCACCCGGAATGTAAGTGACTTTGTCACCTAAGGCTTTGTGGAACTTCTATAGACTCGAAACACCAGACCTGAGGACACTAAATAACTCGCCAAAGCCAGTTGGTGAAAGAGCTGGCTAGAAGGCTGGCATCCTGGAGGCCCGGGGACAGAATCCTTGACTCTCAAGGGGCGGCACTGACCAAATCGATCGAGGCCCGGAGTGGGGGATGGTGGGGCAGAGGCAGACGTAAGGTGCCAGGGTGCCGGGTGAGGGGACTGAGGAAGAGGAGCTGGGGGTGCACGGCCTCTCTGCTTCGTCGACACCACTCCGGCCTGCGTGTGCCCCCTGCCTATGTTCCCGTGCAACAGGCGTCTCGCCTGTCACTTCCTCCTTACAGTTACCCTGTCAGGAACCTGCGGCCCAGAGAGGTTGTTAGCGGTCCAGGGTCACACAGCTGGGGAAGGGCCTGGGTTCCAGCCCGGCTGCTGACAGCCAACCCAGCACTGCTGACTGCCCCGCGCTGCTGCGACACACGGCCCCGAACAGGGCCCACGAGGCCCTGGGTGCTGCACCCACCGTAGGGGCAGTGCTGCCAGGATGGCTCTGGGGGCTTTGGCTTCCTGCTCAGGAAGTTGCTCAGGGTGGGGCCCCGGCGGCCCAGCGGGTCGTCAGGAGGCATGAACCTACAAAACAAGCACAGGGCGGTGACTGCGAGACCCACGGGGTCTCACCACAGGCACGTGTATGGGGGCAGGACCGAGCCCCCCAGGGAGGGAGTGGCAGCACGAGGCCTCGGCCTGGGCTCTCGTCCACGGCTCTTTCTCTCACCCAGGGGTTGTCAGAGCATCGTAAAGCAGCACTGCCCTTCCTTCTGACTGACCCATGCGGCTCTGAGCACAGACCCCAGGAGAGCTGCCCTGGGCCTTGTCCAAGTGTCTCTCCTGCTGAGGTTCAAGCCAGCAGTGCCAGAGTCACCTAGAAACTCCTGAGAAAAAAAACGCAGGCTTCGGGGGTCACCCCAAACCTGTTGACTCGGAATCTCAAATTGTTCAGGAATCTAGGTTTTAACAACTTCCCAGGTGATTTCTATCCACTGAAGTTGAAGCACAATTGCTCTAAGGCTCCCCTGGGTCCTAGTCCAAAAGCGACCCCTAAGCTGCCTTCCCATTGTCCTCTACGGGAGGCTCGAGACCTCCATGGGGCTCCCGGGGGCTCAGATGCTGCTTCTCCTGTGTCGCCCCACAGCTCTGGGCGCACATAGGTGGAGGATAAATATTAACAGAGTTTAAAACGCTTGTTGGAGAGTCAGAGAAGCGAACCCCAGGTGTGGCCTCCATGCTCAGCCTCTGTGCAGACTCGACTCCCCTCTGCAAAGCTGGGGGCTCCGGGTGGGCTGGGTCTCGGCTTCCAGGCTGCCTGACCCTACCCTGCCCCCCACCCCTTCCCATCTCCCCAGCGTTAAGTCTAACAGGGAAGGAAATGTATCCTGAGTGCCTGCAGCCCAGAGGGGAAAACCACATTTCTCGGAAGGAAAACTTCCCTGGCCCAGCGCGATCCACTTTTTTATGTGAATACTTCTGTTCCCAGGAGGCACTTGCAGGTCCTACAAAGGTTCCTCTGGAGGGGTTGTGGATTCTAAACGGGGTGCCTGTTTTCTTGGGTTGCTGACGCCCCTAAGAGTCCAGGGTCATGCTGAGGTCCCAGCCCGCATGTCCACCAGGCCAGCCCGGAGCTGGGTGACCCCCGGGCCCGGGTAGCCTCGTGGCTCAGATCCCAGCTGCACAGCCAGCTCCTCGGAGCTGGGCCCTGACCAAGAATCCAGGAGCCGCCCACTGCGGTTATTAAAAGTTCCCGAGGCTTCACCTCCTGCTCTCTCCCGGGCCTCGCTGCTGTGAGCTGGGCCAAGGGGGCCCTATGGACGTGCCCGGGGCACCGGGGCGGGTGTCCTCACCCACAGGCGGATGGGCAGGCTGTGCCCTCTGGCAGCAAGGGGACCTTCTGGCTGGCCCTTCGCAGAGGCCAGTGCGTCAAAAGGACTTGGCCCGGGCCCCAGGCTGTCGCCAGGCCAGAGGCAGCCATGATCCATCAGACCTCAGTGAGGATTTTCTGGAACCCACAGTCACCAGACTTGCCAGATTCCTCCGGGCCTGAGCCGGAGAGAGGGAGCCGCTGGCCTTGTGTAGGTGGAAATGACCCGGGGGGCTGCTGCAAGCACCTGCCTGGGGCTTAGGGGGGCTCTTCCGCCACCACGGCTGCAGGCCAGGTGGAGGTGGGGACAGCAGTACCCCTGGGGTCATGCTGGCCTGGCCTGGCCTGAGGAGAACAGGGTCCATTTTCTCTAGTCCTCACAACCATCTCAGAGATAAGGATGATTAATCCAGGTATGGTCAATTCAAGGTGAAGAACGTTCAGCTCAGAGAGGTTGAGTGATTTTCCCACCACACACAGTACACAGCAGAGCCTCAGTTTGAAACCTCATCTGCTGCCTTCAAAGCCCCAGGTCTTTCCACTGTACCACACTGCCTCCCGGGCTTCAGGGTCAGGAGCCGGTCTGCCGTATGCAGGTGGCCTGACCCAGCCAACATGTCTCCTCCTCTCCCCACCCTCCCTTCCCCAGGGCTGCAGCCATCACTCACTCCCTCACTCACTCACCTACAACTAGTTATTGAGTGCCTATGATGTGCCAGGCCTGCGGGGGCCGTGGCGGATAAGATACATACAGTCCCCGCCCTCACAGAGCTGGGGAGCTTGTCTCAAACCACATTCCTAAAAGCCAGTCAGAGAACCCAAATGAGGACCGAGCTCTCATTGCCTGGAACAGAAGTTGAAATGGGAGCGATGTCCAGCTGGCTGTGTCTTACTGTGCTAGTCTCAGACCCTCGCCCACCTTGCCAGGCTCCCAGCCTGTGGCCTCAGCATGCCTGAGCACGTCTGCAGTGGACCAGCCGTCGCTTCCTCCCCACCTCAGCTCCTCTAGGGCCCTGGCCCACCACCTGCTAAATGCCTTGTGCCTTGTGACCCCGACTTCTCCCTCTCCCGGCTGTCACTGGTTGGTCCAGGGATGACCTGACCCAGGGGGACCAACCTAGGGGACAGATGAACCAACCAGATTCTCTTCAAAATTCCAGCCAAAAGGGATTGAGACAGAGTCCATTCCAAGATCTTTACAGCCTCAAAGAAAAGACAATGTTGCCTCCTCCCATATGTAATTCAAAACTTTTTAAAAAAAAAAAACAAAAATATGTGAAAGGAAATGCAACAAAGTTCAGATTTTCCCACGATGACTGTTTCAGTGCTCTTATTTGAAGTAGTCAATTCTTTTTTTTTTTTTTTTTTTGTGAGGAAGATCAGCCCTCTTTTTGCTGAGGAAGACTGGCTCTGGGCTAATATCCGTGCCCATCTTCCTCCACTTTATATGGGACGCCACCACAGCATGGCACAGCAGCGGTGTAGGTCTGCCCCCAGGATCTGAACACGTGACCCCCGGGCCGCCAAAGCGGAGTGCATAAACTTAACTGCTACACCACCAGCAGACCCCTGAACTACTAAATTCTTTACAAAGAAAAACAAATAGTTTCTGTGCCCCAAGCCCGTGTTTGGCACACCTGTTGAGCAACTCTGTGCCGGGTCAGCCAGCTGTGGGCATGGGAATGGAAAGGTCATGGACAGTTGGGAGAGGACAGCCCTGTTGGGGAAAGGTGGTCACCAAAGAGAGGACAGCCAGAGGGACAGAGGGAGACCGGGGGGCCTGGGGGAGCGGACGGGGTGACCTCAGGCCACTGTCTCCAGGGCCGGGTGTCCTCTGCTTCTGCCATGGCGTGCCCGTGAGCACGAGCCCCGGTGGCCTGGGCTAGTTGGGGCGGCTTTCTGCCGGTCGCCCCCCCCACCCCCCGCCCCGTGCCAGCCCCCTCGGCCGCCACGTACCGGTCGTTGACGAAGGAGAACATGAGCAGCCTCTGCTCGATGAACCACTTCCACTCGGGGTTCTCGCTCTGCAGGTCCCGGTAGTTGTCGTTGGAGACGATGATGCCGTCCTGCTCGTAGGCCACCTTCACGATGTAGCGGTCGTCATAGCAGACCACCCGCTTGCCGTTCACCTTGCGGGACGGGGTGTAGACGAGCACGGCCTGCCTCTCCAGCTCCTCCAACACGTGCTGCTCTGGGGGCCACAGGGCGGGGACACGGCATGGAGCGGCCCTCTCGGAAGGACTCCCCACCCTAAGAACCACCCTAAGATCGCGGGGCACGTCTGGCAGCTCCAACTCCCGCCTCCCACCCCACGGCCCAGCCCGTCAGATGAGGAGCAGGGGGCTCTTCAGAGAAATTCGCCAGCAGCCCCAGGTCTAGAGGGCTCTTGGCTTCTGTCCCGCCTGTCATGACAGGAGTCCAGAGAATGGGAGAGAGTCACTCGAGAAGGAAGAGTGAGGCCGCACTCCTGTCCTTCCATGGTTACGTGCCACGATTAGCATCTTCTTCACAAATCGTTTCCTCCCTCAAGTCTAGGTCCCTTCCTATATGACATGGCTCCCAGACTTTGAAGAAGTGCATAATGCATAGATGGTACAAAGAATAATTCTTTGAAATGCCATGTAGGCAGCACTCCCTTTGAGAAATAGAACACGGCCCATGCTTTTGAAGTCCCCACTGCCCCTCCCAGTTCACGTCTCTCTCCATTCCCCTTAAGATAACCCGATATTTAGAATTTTGTGTTTATAATTCCCTTGCTTTTATTTTTTAAATGCATATGTGTGTATCCCCCAAAAGGACTATTTTCAGTGTGGTTCTGAACCTCTAGACTTGACACAAATGGAATCACACTGCACATATCCTTGTGCAACTTGCTTTCATCATTGAACACTGTGTTGGTGAGGCTGGGCCATGTCCATATGCTCTGTGCTGTCAGCTTTGCACATTAAGTCTCCGGGTCCAGAAGCACAAGGGTTTCTCTAAGGCACGTCTCTAGGAGTGATATTGCTGAGTTATGGGGAAAGGCATTTAACAAGATATGCTGAATCGTTTTCCAAAGTGGTTACTGCCCAACACAGCATTTAAGACAACCTTGCCAACACGTGACATTTTCAGGTTTTTGGATTTTGGTTAATCTGGTGGGTGTCAAGTGGCCTCTTACAATGGTTATATTTTGCTTTTCTCTGGATACTAAGGAGATTGAGCATCATTTCACATGTTTATTGGCCATTTATGTTTTCTCTTCTGTGAAAGGCCTGTTCATGCTTCAGCTCATCTTTCTCCTGGTCCTTTCTCTTTGTCTTGTAGATCTGGGGAGGCTCTCTACAGACTCTGGATAGTTTTCCTTCATCAGGAGTATGTATTGTGTAGCCTCTCTCAGTCTGAGGCTCATCTTTTTATTTTTTGGTTTTTGTGGTATCCATTAATGAGCAGAAGCTTTTACTGTAATGTAGTCAAACTTATGAATCTTTCCCCTACTGATTTGCACTTGCTGTGGCTTGTTTAAAAATTCCTTCCCTGCCCTAAAATTATTTCCCCACTCTTTACCCATACTGTATTAAATATGACACAACTGTTGAAAGCCACTATTCTCCATGTTCGGTCCATAGAGAATTATTTGGTGTAACCAGTTCAGGAGGGATAACTGAACACAGAGATGTATCCTCCCTCCTTCTCATAATCCCACTGAAATGACAAAGAGAAGCACAAAACTGGGAGGGGATCCAAATCACATTAAAAATGGGCCTGGGGACAGCAGCAAACCCAGGATTTTGACAAATTTTAGGAAGACAGGAAGCTGATAGGATCACATTGATTGTACAGCACGGAGGGAGCCACAGCCCAGAATGCAGGAAGAAGGCTGACAGGCGTTTTCCCTGATAAGTCCTGGAGGAATCCAGGCACGTGGAGAGGGAGGGGGAGTCAGGATGACTCACTGGAGGGCTGCTCATGGGACTGCAGCCATTCTTCTCCTACCCCTACCCCCATGTGGAAAGTGAAGATGGAACTCGGAAGGAGGAGGTTCCCATGTGGCCTTTGACCTCCTAGAGTAAAACCATCATCCTGGTGGCATTAGACGTGTGTTGGACAGCGGTGCCCACTCCTGCCGCCCCTCCATGCAGGGCACACTGAAGGGCCGTCTGCGGTCAGCACCAATGGTCACCCCGCCAGTCAGGGAGAGAGCCCCATGCTAGGAGCAAAAGCCCACGGCAGAGGCACAGACATATATATAACCAATCTGGTGCTTTATTCACAAATAAAAACTGACAACCAAAGGATCACCTGACTTCTGGGAATACCTAACAGCACAAAAAGAGAAAGAGAGAGATTAACAAAGAGAATTGACCCTGGAAAAAATAAATATGATTCGTTCGTGGAACTTAAGAGAACTTTCTAGAAGTCTATATTAGTATAGAAATAGTCAAGAAGATACTGATCCATAAGACAAGAATAGCATTTTATTTAAAAAATAAAGAGACAGGGCCGGCCCCGTAGCTTAGCGGTTGAGTGCTCGCGCTCCGCTACTGGCGGCCCAGGTTCAGATCCCGGGCGCGCACCGATGCACCACTTCTCCAGCCATGCTGAGGCCGCGTCCCACATGCAGCAACTGGAAGGATGTGCAACTGTGACATACAACTATCTACTGGGGCTTTGGGGAGAAAAAAAAAGGAGGAGGATTGACAATAGATGTTAGCTCAGAGCCGGTCTTCCTCAGCAAAAAGAGGAGGATTAGTACGGATGTTAGCTCAGGGCTGATCTTCCTCACAAAAAAAAATTTTTTAAATAAAAAATAAATAAAGAGACAGAGAGAGAAGAAGAAGCTAATGGTAACCATTGATAGAATTAAAAACAAAAACTTTTGGTAAAACACCTGGAAGAAAAAGTCAAAGAAATCTCCCAGAATCACCAAGAGGTCAGCCCCACCAGCAGTGACTTGGCTGAAACAACGCAACCCGCGGCTTAGCTCTGACTTCTCATTACAAGAAAGCCAAGCAAAAAAATAAATAAATAAATAATCCCTGTTTATTTAAACCACAAGGTTCTATTATTTGTAGCTTAAAATAGTCCTAGCTGATAAAAAATAAAGAATTCCCTCAAGAAAACAAATAATCCAATTAAAAAATGGGCAGAGGACCTGAATAGACATTTTTCCAAAGAAGACATACAGAGGGCCAACAGACACGTGACAAGATGCTCAACGTCACTAATCATCAGGGAAAAGCACATCAAAACCACAGTGATATACCACCTCACACCTGTCAGAATGGCTGTCATCAAAAAGACAAGAGATAACAAGTGTTGGTGAGGCTGTGGAGAAAAGGGAACCCTTGTGCACTGTTGGTGGGAATGTAAATTGGTGCAGCCACTATGGAAAGCAGTATGGAGGTTCCTCAAAAAATTAAAAATAGAACTACCATACGATCCAGCAATTCCACTTCTGGGTATTTACCCAAAGAAAACAAAAGCACTGATTCGAAAAGATATATGCACCCCTATGTCCATGGCAGCATTATTTACAATAGCCAAGATATGGAAGCAACATAAGTGCCCATCGATGGATGAGTGGATAAAGAAGATGTGGTATATGCATATAATGGAATATTACTCAGCCATAAAAAAGAATGAAATCTTGCCATTTGCAACAACATGGATGGACCTAGAGGATATTACGCTAAGTGAAATAAGTCAGAGAAAGAAAAATACCATATGATTTCACTTATATGTGGAATCTAAAAAACAAAACAAATGAATAAACAAAACAAAATAGAAACAGACTCATAGATACAGAGAACAAACTGGTGGTTGCCAGAGAGTGGGCGTTGAGTGAAATAGGGGAAGGAAATTAAGAGGTACAAACTTCCACTTATCAAATAAATGTCACGGGAATGTAATATACAGAGTAGGGAATATAGTCAATAATACTGTAATAACTTTGTATGGTGATTGATGGGTACTGGACTTATCAGGGTGATCATTTCATAATTTACATGAATGTCAAATCACTATGTTGCTCATCTGAAACTAACATAATATTGTATGTCAACTATACTTCAGTAAACATAAATAAATAAAAAAAGAATTCCCTGGGTCTCAGTTTCTTTTTCTTTTTTTTTTAATGAAGAGATTGGACTATTCAGTAAATAAATATCACCAGACCGAATGAATCTCTCTTTCAGATCCTATATTCTATCAGGGGCAGGATGCAGATCCAATCTTTCTGCAGAGGGTTGTAAGACATTATTTTTGGAACTTAATCGTTCACACTACAAGATGAAGTAATTTGTTCACTCATCTGGTCAAAAACTATTTATTGAGCACCAACTATATGCTAGGTATCATGCTAGGTGCTAGGGCTATGGCAGTGAACATCCGAAGTTCATAGGTCATCCTATGAACTTCATGGAGCTCATAGGGCAGTGAGGAAGACAGAGATCACACGAACAGCTCAGGAGATAACTGACTGTCCTTGTGAGGTGTACGACCGAGGAAAGGTGGATAGCACCTCTTTAGCCTGTACCTGCTCCAGCATACCTCTAATAGGGGTATCGGATCTTGGTGGGTCTTTCCTCCAGGATGGGACAAAAACTTTGATGTAGGTGTGTCCTCTGTCCCTGAACCAGTCCACAGCCAGCTGGATTCCCCGGCAAGAGAAGGCTTCTTTATTTCCATGGCTACATGGGAAAACAAAAAAAAGCTGTAGAGACACAGAAAGGGTTCCTAAAGGGTGATTTCCCCTGGGAATTTCCTGGGTCACAGTCTCATAATCAAAGTGAATCAGGCAAGTTAATAAGGATCAACACAAAATGAACGCAAGCAGCCATCTGCCGATACTCTCACTCCAACAGAGGGTTGAAAATGTGTTATTGGGGTTTCCAAGTCCAAGAAAGGAGGCCAATGTGCCCCACAAATTCCACCAAAGACATCGACGGAGGCAGGAAGGAGAGAGTGTTGTGCAAGGAGGCTCAAGACCAGGCGGGGCCTTCCGTGCCTTATTTAAGGCTCTTCTTTTCTTGTAAGAGGAATGAGAAGCCAGGGAAGGATTTTCAGATTGAGGATATGTGTGATGTGATGCGATCAGACGTATGTTTCAAAAAGCTCAATCTGGCAGCACAGAGGACAATAAATTGGAAGGGAGCAAGAGTGGGAGCTGGGTACCAGTTAAGAAGCTGTTGTCGTCAAGGCGGAATCTGATGGCGACTTGGCCAGAGCTGGTGGTGGTGCCTAACAGAGGAGGTTGGTGCACTTGAGATATTTAGAAGGTAAAATCTCCAGAACGTAGTGGTTGATTGGATATAGAGGTAACAGAAAAAAGGCATTGAGGATGCTTCCAGATCTCTGGCTTGTATAACTGGAAGTGGGGCTCTTCACTGAGTTGGGGAATTCTGGAGGAGGACAGGGTTTAGAGGGAAAGATCTCGAGTTTGGTCGTGGACACTTACTGAGTTGGAGAAGCCTTTGTGACCTCTGAGTGGAAATGTGAAGTAAACAGCGAGGGTTCAGAAGAGAGGTCTGGGTGATGAAATGTGTGGGTCATCTGTGTTTAAGCAACAGTTAAAGCCTGATTGCCTGGGAGAGAGTGAGAGGCCCAGGGCTGGACCTGGAGGCACTCTGAGGAACTCAGTAGCTGGTTACGAGTGGAGGAGGACAACCTTACAAAAGAGACAGAAAGGATCTATGAGGAAAAAAAAGGAAGTAAACCAGAAAAGTGCTCATCGTGGAAGCCAGGAGAAGGAGGCAGCCGAATGCTGCTCCGAGGGACCCAGGAAGCCTGAAAACATCCCTCAGGCTTAGTCAATGGAGGTCAGTGGTGTTTTGCTGGAGAGGGAGACAAGTGGTTAGATCTGAGATATTGAGAAGGTAAATCAGCTGGACTTAGCCATGGATGGGACACAGCCTGGCCTCAAGAGGATCACTCTGCACTCACGGCTTCCACCCCAAGAACCTGCACTTCCTTCAGCCCTTCACCCTGGCTGTGCACCTTCCTCCATATCCACCACAGGGCCTTTGCACCAGCTATTTCCTCTCCCCTCGGCTGAGTCCACTCCTCTTCCTCCTTCAGATCTCAGCTTCATCTCCACGTTCTCAGGAAAGCATCCCCTGACCCCTGCACCCCACAGATGCCCCTATTCTGAGTCCTCCCAGCACTGGACTGCTCCTTCCTGGTACTTAGCACAGTTGAATGCTTACACTCCCCCCTGGGATGAATTGGGTCTCCCTCTCTATAAATCATAAGTTCCCTTTGCTCCCCAGTGAATTCCCAGCACGGAGCACGGTGTCTGATAATTGGTAAGGGCTCAATGAAAACGCGTTGAGTAAACATAAGACTGAGAAGAAACTGGTCTCAAGAGTAGGAGGAGAAAGACTCTGGGCAAAGGGAAGAGTTGGCTGGAAAGATCCTGGTGCAGGAAAGACGGCTGTCAAGGGACCAGGAAGAGAGCAGTGTGACGGCAGCCTGTGGAGTGAGCAGAGGGCAGAGCTGTAGCCCGTGGGGCGGGAGGGGCAGGCTCTTCCTGGAGAGCCGGCGTCGCCTTGGTGCTTGCCTCTGCTGAGGAGCCCGGCCCACAGCGGCCGGCCCACGTCCTGACGGATAACATGCCCGATTTTCATCCTTGTGCCTTCTCTTGTGTGTGGCCTCGCCTGCCATCTGCTCAGAGGACACTGGGACAGCTCCAGGTTGATAAAGAGAAAAAGGAAGTCTTCGGAAACAATAACCAACAGTTTTGGAAGTCAGGCTTTGTGGAAATACGAGAGAACTCGAAACCCCTTGAGCCTCCGGAACGTATCAGGAACCAGGCCTTGCCACCTAGATCTGAGTGCCTTCCAGTTTAGAGAAAACATGCCTTTGGCCACTGAGGCTGAGCTGTGAGGCATATGCAAACAGCAAGGGGAAAATATCAATGGGGCTGTCTGCGGTAAAAAGGAAGAGGAAGTGGAAAGCCAGCTCCTTCCTCCCCAGTGGAAATTGAAAAAAAAAAGGAGCTGGAGGAAGTAGGAGGAGGTCATTCACAGGGTCCTTACCCCCGCACCCCGACACCTGCTCCACCCCACTGAGCCATAAGGGGAGGCGGAGATGCAAAAACAAGATGGGTGTGAAGAGGCGGCTGAAGGCTTGTCTCTCAGCACAGCCTGGGTGGGTTGTAAGCTTCTCGGAGAAATCCTGGTTTCAGCGGGTGGAGCATCCCGCAGGGATGCGGGTGCCTGGGAGGAAAGTGGTGGATAGGTGAACCGGAAGCAACAGCCCTGGATCCCTTGCATGTCCCAGGTCTGGTGGATCATCTGAGGCCTGGGGATGGACAAACAGGTCCCCGTGAGGAAGACAGCACTTTAAGCTAGCATGGCTCCCCAAAAGCCAAGTGGGACCAATGACCTCTCCATGGTCACCATTCCGGAAGTCAGACCAGCCTAACCACTCTCCAGCAGAGCCATAGGAGGGTTCTAGAACCCCTCTCCCAGCCCACACCAGGTCTCAAAGCCCCCAGATGCCATTTGGGAGAGGAGCGGGGGAGGGAGAGGAAATATGAACCCTGAGTCGTCCAGAAGACAGGAGACACTGAGATGCCACAAATCGGCAAGTTTAGGTCTGCCCCTCCCTGCTACCTAAAAAGGTGGGGAAGAGATTATACCCATCATAGGAAATAAGGTCTACTTTCTGTGCACATTGGAGCAGTCATCAGAACAATGGATGACACCCCCACTGCCACCGCACCCCTAACACATGCATCTCTTGGCTGCAGCAAAGTCTATCTTCAGTCAGTTCTCAAGTAAATATATCACTACCACAATTCTTTTAAAAATTGTTTCTTGAGTGTTCTCTTTTCTGTGACTACACATCTGTTTTTAACCGTTCAAAAGCCAACTATCCATCCCCAACACCTTTGATGGGTGTGTGGCTGGAGGGGGCACGTTCAGTGATGAGGGAGAGAGAAGGAGACTGACTCCAACCCCTGTGAGGGGGCAAAAGTGAGCACGGCAACGGGTTCTGGTGACTCTGCTCAGGACCACAGCCTGCAGTGGCCCTGGCCAGGGGCATGTGGACGGCAGGGGGTCGGCAGTCCAGGAGTTCAAGAAGAGAAGGGCTGAGGAACGGTGCCACCATCAACTTCACGCAGCAAAAACGGGCCATAAGGCCTATCTGACACACGACTCCAAGATGGCAGACCCTTAGCCAGGAGTTTCCACAGGGCAGATACGAGCCTCCAAGACCAGGGAGGAAGGATCAAGCTCACAACCACTCACAGCACATCGGTGCAGCCAATACCTTCCTCTCTCCCTAAGAAGTGCTCTCCCTTCCAGCTCTGACTCCAGGCACAGGGAGGTCAGGGGCTGACCCCCAGAACCGCTAAGCTGGTCTCTCTGGAAGGGAAGATCTTCATTCAGGTCTAGTGTTATGCAGAACTGGATTCCCACACACCCCACTCCAACCTCTCCTCACGAGCCTTCCAGTCTCTTCTGAGATGTGAAGATTGTCTATTTTCCAATCCTTGCCACATTTTTTTACCAACCTCAAAACCCCATCAGGGTTGCCACTTCTGACCACAGAAAGCCCCATGCAATGGCAGGACTGATGACTCAAACAGGGGCCACCTCCTCACCACATGGCAGTCTGTCTCTAGGAGCCAGCAGAGCTCGCAGTCGGGCAAGAAAGCATCCCCGGTCACCCTGGGAGCCCACTCCCCGGCACACAGGGGAAAGACACCAGCCAAAGGTATCTCTTCACTTGTGGATCCTCCATTCACCCAACGTTGATTTGTGAACGTCTACTTCGGCGGGCTCTGTGCTGGGTGCTCGGAGAGCAGTGAACCAGCAGACCTCGCTCTGCTTCTTGGAGCTCATTTTTCATATTCATAGAGAGTCCTGGGTACTGGGCCACTCTGCACACGTACCTCATTTAATCGTTACAACGAGCCCTTGAGGAAGTGACCTCCATCCCACTTCACCCTCGAGGAAACTACAGCAAAGCAATGTGCCCAGCTCCCTGATCTAGCAGCAGACCGCAGAGCCTGATCTGTTGGGCTGCAAACTCTCCCTCCCCATCTCCGCTTATTCCATTATTCCTGCTCCTCTCCAGTCTCTGCCGCTGGGATCCACACAGCAGCTCCTCGGGAGCATAAGTTACCTGCTGTTAAAACGCTGGAGTTTGGGGAGGGACCTCAGTGCTTATTAACAGTCCCTGCGAACCAGTTAATCAGGCAGCAAGCTAAGAACCAGGCCCTGGGAAAAGGAAACAGAAGTGGGAGGTTTTGAATAAAGGGAGGGTGGTAAGGGGAAGTGGGTGGGTGCCTGGGGCAAATTTCGCCTACATGACAACTGTGCCTGGGGCAGCCACAGTTCCAGTAACTAGAAGATCTGATCGGAGCACCACTGTAGGGTCAACTACTGTCCAAGAAGTCCCCGCAGATGTGAGTGGCTCACAAAACTGTCCCTTCAGGGTTCGAGATGTGAGGGGACATCACTGTTTCGACGTGGGGTTAAGCTGCAAACACTCCAAAATTGGAGTTTATAGCTCTTCTTACCAGGAGATCTCTCCCCAGCTCAAATCAGGGGGCAGAAAGCGGGTGGGTGGGGGCTGCTCTGGGCATCCTCCTCTTACAAAGCAGAAATGGGTTCAGACTTAGGTAGGAGCCCAGGACCAGCGCTGGTCGGGGGAGTTCAGAGGCTCAGAAGCAGGTCTG